CACTTTTGGACTCTCGCTTGCTGAGGTGTTCCAGCGAGTGTCTCTGTAGATCTTAGAAAACTATGTCTAGATTTAAGTCGTTGGCGTGCTGGCTGATACCCAAACAGGGGATGAGCTGGAGATGTCTCAGCCTTGGTCCTTTCACTATTGGCTGCTACTTCCCGGCGGATGCCAGGTGGTGCAATACCGGCTAAGCAGTGTAATTTCTCCAGTGGTGTAGGGCGCAGACACCCCGTGATAATGCGGCATGTCTCATTAAGAGCCACATCCACTGTTTTAGTATGGTGAGATGTGTTCCACACTGGGCACGCATACTCAGCAGCAGAGTAGCACAGCGCAAGGGCAGATGTCTTCACTGTATTTGTAACCTTCAGAAATGGGGCTACAAAGTAGAATCCTCGACATGCGAGTGTGGAGAAGAACAAACCACCGACCACCTGCTGCAATGCAACCTGAGCCCTGCCACATGCACAATGGAGGACCTTCTTGCAGCAACACCGGAAGCACTCCAAGTGGCCAGATACTGGTCAAAGGACATTTAACCAGCTACCAAACTCACAAGTTGTGTATTTTTCTGTTTGTTTGCTTTGTTCTGTTAGACTGGTTGTTCTGACACGACAAATAAATAAGGAACTGCTGCAACTGTTCTGCTGCTGCCCTCTCAACCACCTTGCCCAGAAACAGAAGGTTTGAGACTGGGCGGTAGCTAGAGGGAACCGAACGATCTAAGTCTGGTTTTTTCAGCAGAAGACACCATCGCCTCTTTAAAACCCTCTGGAAAAACTATGTTTCTGTCCTCCCCTCTTAAACAAAGACAGGCAAGAAGTGAGCCGTTCCCTTCCATCTGTTGTTGGAGGAAGGCTTTGCTTTGTTGGCTCCAGATGACCGGCCATAAACAGTTATTAGCAGCCGGCTGAGGAATGCATCTGCTTCCCCGGCCTTTAAAGTGTCCGAATGGATAGAGAGAAAGGCCTTTTTGTTTGGAGAGGCATTCCGTTCTTAAAGGAGGTGGAGTCGGAATACGTTCTAACTTGTGTTTTCTGACTCCATTTCCTACCAATGCATTCCCTGAACTTGGAAACCAAAGTGGAGACAACAGGAGTAAAAATACATGGAGCTATCCATGGTGCTGAACCAATTTGGTCAGGTTGTTTTCAGCACATGAAATAGATTCTTCCATAGTGTGGCGCTGCCTTTCTTGGATCACTATTTAACAAAATCATAACAGAAGACATAAGAACAACCTACCTCAGGGGAAAATGCTCGCTCCATCAATGTTTACCTTTTACACAAATGACCAGCCACTGCCAAAAGGGACAGAGAGATTCGTCTATGCTGACGATTGTGCCATCACCACTCAAGCAGGGAGCTTTGAAATGGTTGAATAGAAGCTCTCTGAATCTTTAGGTGCTCTTACTTCCTATGATAGAGAAAACCAGCTTTCCAGAGATTTAGGCCAGCGTTTCTGAACCTTCCTAATGCTGCGACCCCTTAATCCAGTTCCTTATGTTGTGGTGACCCCCAGCCATAAAATTATTTTCGTTGCTACTTCATAACTGTCATTTTGTTATGAATCATTATGTAAATATCTGATATGCAGGATGTATTTTCATTCACTGGACCAAATTTCGCACAAATACCCAATATGCCAACATTTGAATACTGGTGGGGTTGGGGGGGGGGGATTGATTTTGTCATTTGTGAGTTGTAGTTGCTGGGATTTATAGTTCACCTACAATCAAAGAGCATTCTGAACTCCACCAACGATGGAATTGAACCAGTCTTGGCATACAGAACTCCCATGACCAACAGAAAATATTGGAAGGGTTTGGTGGGCATTGACCTTGAGTTTTGGAGTTGTAGTTCACCTACACCCAGAGAGCACCGTGGACTCAAACAATGATGGACCAAACTTGGCATGAATACTCAATATGCCCAGATGTGAACACTGGTAGAGTTTGGAGAAAATAGAGCTTGACATTTGGGGGCTGTAGCTGCTGGGATTTATAGTTCACCTACAATCAAAGATCATTCTGAACTCCACCAACGATGGAATTGAATAAATCTTAGTACACAGAACTCCCATGACCAACAGAAAATACTAGAAGGTTTTGGTTGGCATTGACCTTGAGTTTGGGAGTTGTAGTTCATCTACATCCAGAGAGCACTGCGGACTCAAACAATGATGGATTTGGACTAAACTTGGCGTGAGTACTCAGTATGCCCAGATGTGAACACTGGAGAAAATAGACCTTGACATTTTGGAGCTGTAGTTGCTGGGATGTATAGTCAACCTACAATCAAAGCGCATTCTGAAGCCCACCAATGATATAATTGGGCCAAACTTTGCACACAGAATCCCCATAACCAACCGAAAATACTGTGTTTTCTGATGGTCTTTGGCAACCCCTCTGACACCCCCCCAGTGGTTCTGACCCCCAGGTTGAGAAACGCTGTTTGATACTGTTTTAACTGCCAGGGCTTAAGGTTATGTTGTCACGAGAGCTGGAGTTTCACATGTGACTGTAGCTCTCTCTGCCAAAGAGTTCAAACTACAACTCCCAAGGGTTCATAGCATCGCACCACGTCAAAGTGGCGTAAAACTGAATTAATTTAACAGTGTAGATACACCCACAAGTACATCTGTCGTATTGGAGACTCATCACTCTCTCTCTTTCAATATTTTCCTCCCACAGTTTTGGATTTTTTTCTCCTTTTCGGCCCAGCAAAAGACTGCCGAAACACTCCTGCAAAGTGTCAATTCTCAATTCTCACAAAATTCTCAATTCTTACAAAAATTGAGAATTTAGAAAAAGAAAATTACCATACAAACGTATTTCACAAAAATATTTATTTGCCTCAAACAGTACTTTGTGTATGTTTGTGGGAGAATTACAGTTCACAAAAAATACAGGCTGACACTAAGAATTCAAACACAATGTCTCTATAACTACAAGTCTATTGATCCCTACGTTTTGGTCCAACTTTTTGCAAAACATTGAAATTTGAGCTGCCAACCGATTGGGCATTTATTAGTTTATTGATTGCCTTTTAAACCAATGCATACATTCATTTATTTTTTGGAAGACGTAAACATATTATGCTAAGAGTGTTGACGTTGGAGGGAAGAATAGTTCACCTTCAAGGGATGCCCTACACTGAAAATCCTTCTATGACAGTGTTTCTCAACCTTCCTAATGCCGCGACCCCTTAATACAGTTCCTTATGTTGTGGTGACCCCCCAATCACAACATTATTTTCGTTGCTACTTCATAACTGTCATTTTGCTCCTGTTATGCACCGTCATGTCAATATCAGATATGTAGGATGTATTTTCATTCACTGGACCAAATTTGGCACAAATACCTGATATGCCCAAATTTGAATACTGGAGGGGGACTGATTTGGTAATTTGGGAATTGTAGTTGCTGGGATTTATAGTTCAAATTTGGGTGTATCGGGTATTTCTGACAAATGAAAATACATCCTGCATATCAGATATTTACACGATGATTCATAACAGTGGCAGGAGGTTGGACTGGATGGCCCATGCAATCTTTTCCTCCAGCTCTATTGTTGTTGTTGTTGTTGTTGTTGTTGTTGTTGTTGTTGTGACTGGATGGCCATATGTTGTGGGGGGGGGGGGGCTTTGTGCTTTCCCTGCATAGCAAGGGGTTGGACTGGATGGACCATGCAGTGTCTCTTCCAACTCTGTTGTTGTTTTGTTGTTCTTGTCTTTGTTGTTATTGTTGTTGTGACTGGATGGCCATCTGTTGGGGGTGCTTTGATTGTGCTTTTCCTGCATGGCAGGGGGATGGACTGGATGGCCCATGTGGTCTCTTCCAACTCTGTTGTTGTTGTTGTCTTTGTTGTTATTGTTGTTGTGACTGAATGGCTATCTGTTTGGGGTGCTTTGATTGTGCTTTTCCTGCATGGCAGGGGGATGGAATGGATGGCCCATGTGGTCTCTTCCAACTGTTGTTGTTGTTGTTGTTGCCTTTGTTATTGTTGTTGTGACCGGATGGCCATCTGTTGGGGGTGCCTTGATTGTGCTTTTCCTGCATAGCAGGGGGATGGACTGGATGCCCCATGTGGTCTCTTCCAATTCTGTTGTTGTTGTTGTTATTGTTGAGACTGGATGGCCATCTGTTGGGGGTGCTTTGATTGTGCTTTTCCTGCATGGCAAGGGGTTGTACTGGATGGCCCATGTGGTCTCTTCCAACACTGTTGTTGTTGTTGTTGTTGTCTTTGTTGTTATTGTTGTTGTGACTGGATGGCCATCTGTTGGGGGTGCTTTGATGGTGCTTTTCCTGCATAGCAGGGGGGTGGATTGGATGGCCCATGTGGTCTCTTCCAACTCTGTTGTTGTTGTTATTGTTGAGACTGGATGGCCATCTGTTGGAGGTGCTTTGATTGTACTTTTCCTGCATGGCAGGAGGTTGGACTGGATGGCCCATGTGGTCTCTTCCAACTCGTTGTTGTTGTTGTTGTTGTTATGACTGGATGACCATCTGTTGGGTGTGCTTTGATTGTGCTTTTCCTGCATGGCATGGGGTTGGACTAGATGGCCCGTTTGGTCTCTGTTGTTGTTATTGTTGAGGCTGAATGGCCATCCGTTGCGGGTGCTTTGATTGTGCTTTTCCTGCATGGCAGGGGTTTGGACTGGATGTCCCATGTGGTCTCTTCCAACTCTATTCTATGATTCTATGATTCCTTTAGAACCCTTCCAGACTGCCCTATATCCCAGCATATCAAGGCAGTGTGGACTCAGATAACCTTGATATGCTGGGACATAGGGCTGTGTGGGAGGGCCCTCCGTCTCAGGTCCAAGGGAAATGTGGCGTCTCTTTGCGAGGTGCGCGTTGCAGTCGCCCTGGTCCTTATCCCTAGCCTTGCAGCCCTTTTACCGAACATAGTCCTCTTCCCAGTCAAGACGTTCTCTCTCCTCCAGAAATGGCTGATGTGTTGCTGTGGATCCCTTGTTGTGTTTCTGCGCCCTGCTAAAGATTCCTGTTGTGCTGCAGACCATTCATGGGCAGAGATGGCGGCGGACTAAATAGCGGGCCCACTATTTCCGAATGAGTCTGTGGGTCTGCAATGGGGATCGGGCTGATGGGTCCCGAGTCCCTCTGGATGGAGCCAACACCACCGCCATCGAAGCTGGTCATCTTCTTCTTCATTAGTTTCCGTTCCTTGGCCCGGCGGTTTTGGAACCAGATTTTGACCTATAAAATAAAGCACAGTTTGTATGAGTTAATACTTCTGAGCTAATGTAGAAAAGTATAGATGTCCAATATGCTGATGATAATGTAGTCTGTACGCATTCAGAAGAAGACCTACAAGCTATTCTAAACGCCTTTGCAGAAGCATAAAAGAAGCTCGGCCTGTCATTGAACATTGAGACAACTCTTCCAACATTCACCAGCCATTCCCTCTCCAATGCCAGAAATACAGCTTAATGGTGTAACATGAGAAAATGTTGACCATTTCTGCTCCCTTGGCAGCTACCTCTCCACCTCTCAGATTTTGACCTATAAAATAAAGCACAGTTTGTATGAGTTAATACTTCTGAGAAAATGTAAAAAAGAATAGAATTCCAATATGCTGATGATAATGTTGTTGGGGTTCAGCCTGATCCTGATCTGTGTGAACCGGATTCTCTGATAGTTTTTCCAACTGAGCAAGCTCTCCCTGACAGTGTGGAATCTGTTGTTGATGCTGAGGTCAGCGGCGAGGAAAGTGAACTAAACAGCTGGAGGAAAATGTTTTGGAAGCTAGCCGTGATATCTCTCCACCTGGGTTTTTTAATGAGGACCGAAGAGAACAGATAGTTAGAGACAGAAATGTTTCACAGTTTCTACGAAGGTCACATCGTTTACAGGAGAGACAGGCTCAGGCTTCAAAGTCAAGGGGCGTTTCAAAGAATATCTTCTTTGGTTTAAGGGGCCTCCTGCCGGGTGCCTCTTTAGATCAAGCAACGTTTGGGACTGTGGCTGTGCCTTGGCAGAATTCCTGTGTTCCATGACCGGGAATCCCAGAGGCTTCTATTTTTCAAGTTCATGGTTAGCGAGAGGCTAACAGGTTCCTGGTTCTTGTATTGTGGCTTTTGGAATTTTGCTCAAGTTCAGAGATTCTACTGACTGCTGTGTTTCTGTTGTGGCTTTTTTACTCTGCATTTACCTTTCTTTTATAACCAATTTTTCATCAATAAACAAGGATTGTTTTTTCTACAGTCCAGTGTGGTGGATTTAATCTTATTGTCTCGTTTCTTGATCTGGGATGCAACAAATGTAGTCTGTGCGCATACAGAAGAAGATCTACAAGCTATTCTAAATGACTTTGCAGAAGCATACGAGAAGCTCGGCCTCTCATTGAACATCAAGAGAACCAAAGTGCTCTTCCAGCAGTCACCAGCCAATCCCTCTCCAATGCCAGAAATACAGCTCAATGGTATAACGTTAGAAAATGTTGACCATTGGCAGCCACCTCTCCACAAAACTCAACATTGACACTGAAATACAACACCGCCTGAGCTCTGCAAGTGCAGCATACTTCCAAATGAAGCAAAGAGCGTTTGAGAATTGAGACATCTGTAGGGAGATCAAGGCATTTGTTTACAAAGCTATTGTCCTCCCAACCCTGCTAGACGCCTGCGAAACGTGGACTGTCTACAGACATCACACTCAACTCCTGGAATGATTCCATCAGCGTTGCCTCTGAAAAATCATGCAAATCTCTTGGGAAGACAGGCGAACAAATGAAATACTTTGCGAGTACAGCATTTTCCCGAATGAAGCAGAGAGTGTTTGAGGATTGGGACATCTGTAGGGAGACCAAGGCACTTGTTTACAAAGCTGTTGACCTCCCAACCCTGTTCTATGCCTGGGAAACGTGGACTGTCTACAGACGTCACACTCAACTTCTGGAACAATTACATCAACGCTGCCGCTGAAAAATCATGCAAATCTCTTGGGAAGACAGGCGAACAAATGAAATACTTTGCGAGTACAGCATTTTCCCGAATGAAGCAGAGAGTGTTTGAGGATTGGGGCATCTGTAGGGAGACCAAGGCACTTGTTTACAAAGCTATTGTCCTCCCAACCCTGTTCTACGCCTGTGAAACGTGGACTATCTACAGACGTGACACTCAACTTCTGGAACAATTCCATCAGCGCTGCCTCTGAAAAATCGTGCAGATCTCTTGGGAAGACAGGCAACCAAATGTCTGCATGCTGGAAGAAGAAGCAGAGACCACCAGCATTGAAGCAATGCTCCTACGCCATCAACTCCACTAGACTGAATGCTAAGTTGTCCGAATGTGCAATCATTGTCTCCCAAAGCAGTTACTATACTCCCAACTCAAGATCAGGAAATGTGATGTTGGTGGACAGGAAAATAAATTGGCAACCTTAAAAATTGTGGCATTGACACCGAGAGAGAACTGGGAAGCCCTGGCCTTGAGCACTCTAACTGGAGGTCAGCTGTGACCAGCAGTGCTGCAGAATTCAAAGAGGCACGAATGAAGGGCAAAAGGAGGAAACGTGCCAAGAGGAAGGCTCATCAAGCCAACCCTGATTGGGACTGCCTTCCACCTGGAAAACATGTCCTCACTGTGGAACACCATGCATCCACTGCTACTACACTTGGAAGGCTATCCTCCTCGGGCTACAGGGGATCGCCTAAGTAAAAGTAATATAACTTCAAGAAGGGTGATACTATAGGTATGTGCATTTATATAAGGAGATTTATTATGAGTATTTATTTATTTATCGTGTCAGGAGCAAACCAAACAGTTGTATTGCATTTTTTAACAAACAAACAAGCCACAAAGTTTGCAAGCTTGGTAGTTGATTAAATGCCCTTTGAGCAGTATCTGGCCACTTGGAGTGCCTCTGGTGTTGCTGCAAGAAGGTCCTCCCTTGTGCATGTGGCTGGTCTCAGGTTGCATTGCAGCAGGTGGTCAGTGGTTTGCTCTTCTCCACACTCGCATGTCAAGGATTCTACTTTGTAGCCCCATTTCTTGAGGTTGGCTCTGCATCTCGTGGTGCCAGAGCGCAGTCTGTTCAGCGCCTTCCAAGTCGCCCAGTCTTCTGTGTGCCCAGGGGGAGTCTCTCATTTGGTACATTCTGGGTTTGAGCCTGCCACTTTTGGACTCTCGCTTGCTGAGGTGTTCCAGTGAGTGTCTCTGTAGATCTTAGAAAACTATTTCTTGATTTAAGTCGTTGACGTGCTGGCTGATACCCAAACAGGGGATGAGCTGGAGATGTCTCTGCCTTGGTCCTTTCACTATTGGCTGCTACTTCCCGGCGGATGTCAGGTGGTGCGATACCAGCTAAGCAGTGTAATTTCTCCAGTGGTGTAGGGCGCAGACACCCCGTGATAATGCAGCATGTCTCATTAAGAGCCACATCCACTGTTTTAGTGTGGTGAGATGTGTTCCACACTGGGCATGCATACTCAGCAGCAGAGTAGCAGCGCAAGGGCAGATGTCTTCACTGTGTCTGGTTGTGATCCCCAGGTTGTGCCAGTCAGCTTTCGTATGATATTGTTTATAGCACCCACTTTTTGCTTGATGTTCAGGCAGTGCTTCTTGTAGGTCAGATGAGATAGTCCAAATGAGATAGCAAATGAGATAGTCCAGAGTGACTCCCAGGTATTTGGGTGTGCTGCAATGCTCCAGTGGGATTCCTTCCCAGGTGATCCTCAGAGCTCAGGATGCTTGTCTGTTCTTAAGATGAAAGGCACATGTCTGTGTTTTAGATGAATTAGGAATCAGCTAGTTTCCCCTGTAATAGGCAGTAAGGGCACCTAGAGCTTCGGAGAGCTTCTGTTCAACCATCTCGAAGCTCTCTTATTGAGCAGTAATGGCACGATCATCAGCATAGATGAAGCTCTCCGTCCGTTCTGGCAGTGGCTGGTCATTTGTGTAGATGTTGAACATGGATGGAGCAAGCACGCTCTCCTGAGGCAGGCCGTTCTTCTGTTTCCGCCATCTGCTTCTCTGGCTCTGGAACTCAACAAAGAAGCTCCTGTTTTGTAGCAGGTTTCCTATGAGGCGGGTGAGGTGGTCGTCCTTTGTGATACTATACATTTTTCTCAGGAGGAGGCGGTGGTTCACAGTCTCATAGGCTGCTGAGAGATCTATGAAGACAGCTCCTGGGATCTGCTGCCTTTCAAAACCATCTTCTATGTCCTGAGTCAGGTTCAGCACTTGCAATGTGCAGCTTCTGCCTTTCCTGAAGCCAGCTTGCTATTATGAGTAGATCTTATTTGAATGATAAATAATTAAAATAAATATTTACATGTATATTACTAATCTACAAACCAAAGAAATTAACTTTAAGAAATGTAGACAGTTGACTGCCATCAAGGGTAGAAATAAAATCAGGAAAAGGAATATTATGCAGAGTTGTAAGAGAAGACAATAAACTGTGTGTGTGTGTGTGTGTGTGTATGTGTATGGCCCATTCTGCAAGTCCATTTATATATTTCCATTTGTTTATTTATGCATTGTATATATTTTACTGTTTTATTAATTTCTTTTGTCTGTGAGTGCATTTATATATAATATAATATAATATAATATAATATAATATAATATAATATATTTTATTTATTGTACATAATTTATGTAAAGAAAAAGAAAACCAAGAAGGCAAAATGGTTGTCTGCTCAGACACTGGAAGTAGCCCAAGAAAGGAGGAA